TCAGTTGGCGTTCGATGAGCTTGCGCAATACAACAAAGCTGTGGGAGTCAGCAGCTCATGCATTAAGTTTACGGACAGCCGAAATACCTACCCAATATGCTCAGGATTGTTACTAGTATTGTTTGTCGACTGTTGTACATTTCACTGCTGACGCAATAGGAGGTCATGCCGAGTCAGAAAAGATATATTCTGTCTCACCAAGCCTGGGAGCAATTAAACCTAATTGACATTTTCTTTGTCTTTGCTGTTAAATAAGTGATCCAGAAGTGAGGATCCCTCAAGTGCTCAGAGGGCAAGGCGTATGATACGGCATAATAAACCTGTTTTCGACAAGTACATGACATACAGTAAGGCCAATGCTTTTCATGCGCAGTACGTTCGTTCGGAAACTACCTTGTGGGTAAGCATACGATTGCACGATGGTATGTAATTATTAAATTGGAGCGTTATTTCTGTTTATATAATCACACTGTATATTTTATAGATAAGCAAACAAACGAAAACAACACGGTGAGAAATTGCTTCAGTCTTACGAGTTGAAACGCACTTTTAAAGGTAGAATCTGTTTTCGTTTTCTTTGAATGCTCATGCAAACTGCACAATGTTTTCCAATATACAGAGGTGGGCAATGTATGGCGTGATAGGAGTAGTCAGAATTGAATATATATCGTAAGGTTATCAGTAAAGTTATTGAGTCATGTGTAATGCTGTTGTTATGAGGTAACTATAGTTTCTTACTTTGGTAATGCACACTAACCTTATCAAGCGCTAGCGAATCTCTCATATATAAACGACTCCAATTCAACTGGCAAATTAAAAGCAAAAAAAGACTCCACACACACGAACACAAGCACACACACAACACACACACAACACACACACAACACACCCACAACACATACAAATATGAGCCGCCAAAACAAGAAAACCACGTCCGACGATCTTACTGGGCGGACACCAATAATGCGGGTGGCAAATCCGGCAGCGAAGCAAAAAGCCAGCTGCCGCCAGTGCGAAGATCAAAAGCGCGAGTTCGAAGAGCTCGCGGAAAAAGTCGACCATTTGGAGGAAGTGGTCGACGAACCGGAGGTGGAAGAAGAACTAAGATACGATTATAGTAACTGGGTAAGTATTGTGATTTTAGCAAGCAATCTTCTTATCATTTCCATTTTGCAAAACTACAATTAGTTTCGTATATTACGTACCCGGTTACTGATAGATGCTTATAATAATTTTTTATTCTTTCACATACCAGCCGACGGAGATGCTGACCAGTTTTATGGCGGAAGTTGTTAGACGTTTGCAAAGCGTCGAAAAATAAATAAAAATAAAAAATTTGAACGTTAATTGAGTGTGGAAATGTCAATTATGATACTGAGACTGTACGTAACTATAAGAAATAACCCAGATGCTTTTGGTATACTATCGCGTCTTAAAATCAAGGAAAAGTGTAAAATCTATCCAATCTACAACAAATTCTCACTGTTTATTATCAATGTCTATTATACTTCTCCGACAGGAAAGTCTCTCAATTACAGCATGTCAATAGATGCATTTTTATTAGTGCCTTCAGAATTATTCGTTCCAGGATAGCTTTTCTGAATTATTGTGCTCGTGCGTTGGAAGTGACAAGTGTTGTCATTGGGAGAATTTACGTGTTGATCTTTTTACGATACTCTTTAGAATTATTACCAATCGCTATACTGCGCAAGGGACGACTGTGCGAATGATAATCATTCACGTATTGTAGTTGCGAATATAGCTGTGCGAATGATAATCATTCACGTATTGTAGATGCGAATATAGTAATAAAGTAACAATGACTGCGTGTGACAATATTAATATTGAGACATCTGCAGAGTGCAGGGTGAATGTTTACAATGCGTGTGAATGGGCTGAAGCCTCATGTCCAGGGGATTTTCAGATGCATCAATGAATTCAGAAGCATTTCATGCTTTGTATGCTTAGAAACCCAACGCAATACTCTTCTAACCTTTTATTACGCTTTATTGACAAAGCAAATGTTATGGTGTGCTTTGTGTAGGAAAAAGACGAAAGTCATTGTTATTAGTCACGAGAATTTATGTCATGTGACCTTGAATCACTATCAGGTTAAGATATATCGATATAGAGAACTTTGCATTTTAGAAGTTAGACGTCAATTTGCTACTGTTGTCTTGGAAAATTTTCTTCTTACTAAGTAATGGCTATAATTAATATCGACAACAGTAGTGTCGCATTCTTAACGAACGGTTACCATGAAGATCTTGTCCTGTTCGGTGACGTGGACAATTCTTGAGATTTCAAGTAAGTAGAGTACTAATGCCGGGTGCTGAGTGTTGACAATTGCGGTGCTTTTCCCAAAGGTGACGGAGGAGTAGATCTAATTGTACGCTTTATGAACTGTGTAACTTTGATCCAATGTTAGAAGATGAAGGTGGAAGCGGGGTGTGGGATTGCCTTTGAGGATGGAACATCGATCTTTGAAGGTGTTCTTGAATGTGATGGACTGTTACGAGAGGCGCAAGAGAGATCTTTGACGGAGGTGAGGTTGACATGTTCGAAGATGCAGATGTGGGAGCTGGTCATGTGGTAGTTGGTGGAAGTGGGAGTGGTGGAGGAGCGGAACGGAAAGATGACGAGACTGACGAACTCTGGTTAAAACGTCATTGGCTTTGTCGTCAGTGACTTAGACGCTGGTGATGACGTAGAGCGACTATGCGAATTTGGAGCTCTTGAGCTCGTAGTGATGAAAAACTAGGACTTGGACTTCGCGAACCTGCAGGCGTGGTGGAAGATGTGGATGATGTGAAGGGAGCCGAGAGTTTGCAGCAGCAGGAATTAGCGCTGACTCTGTTGATGGAGCGGACTCCTTACTTGTTTGCTCCTCGTTCTGCTCTTCCTTTTGTTCCTCAGTTTGCTTCTCAGTTTGATCTTCAACCGCAGGATTATCGACTATCTGCTCCTCGATCATGTAGGTTGTTCGATGATTTGTTTTCTTTTGACAAAGTCTTGGTAGGAATTTGTCTGAGTCGGCTGGTTTGTGAATAGTATGAATGCATATTCATAGAAGTAACATAATGCATTTATCTTTTTCGCCTCCTCTTCACAGAGTACTCACAAAGTATGATCCAATGACCAAGACAATCTGTGCAAAGCATATCATTGCATCCAATGAGAAGATTGGATAAAATCAACGATATCCATTCTGTGGGGATGAGTGATTGTAACTGCATACACCTGAAACTCAGTGACGGGAAGCCAGTCAATTCGGCATCTTTGAACATATCAACCTCACCTAAAGATTCCTCTTGCACCTCTCGTAACAGTCCATCACATTCAAGAACATCTTCAAAGATCGATGTTTCATCCTCAAAGGCAGCTCCTCCACTTCCGCTTCCATCTTCATCTTCTAACATTGGATCAAAATTACACAGTTCATAAAGCGTACAATTAGATCTACTACTCCGTCACCTTTGGGGAAAGCACCGCAATTGTCAACACTCAGCACATTAGTATTCTACTTACTTGAAATTTCAAGAATCAGACGAAGTTGTCTGCATCACCGAACAGGACAAGATCTCTATGGTAAACCGTTCGTTAATAACGATAATGCGACACTAATAAATCCGCCGTTGTTGATATTAATATTATCACTTAGTAAGAAGATAATTTTCCAAGACAACAGTAGCAAATTGACGTCTAATTCTAAAATGCAAAGTTCTCTAATCTGATAGGTGATTCAAGGTCACATGACATATAAATTCTCGTGACTAATAACAATGACTTTCGTTTTTCTTCTTTTCCTACACAAAGCACACCATAACATTTGCTTTGTCAATAAAGCGTAATAAAAAGTTAGCGTTTGCGACAAATGGGTTTCTATAAGCTTTGCATACAAAGCATGAAATGCTTTGAATTCATTGACGCAACTGAAAGTCCCCTAGACATAGGTTTCAGCCCATTCACACTCAATGTAAACATTCACCCTGCACTCTGCAGATCGTCATACTTTTATTACTATATTCGCATCTACAATACGTGAATGATTATCATTCGCACAGTCGTCCGTTGCGCAGTATAGCGATTGTAATGACAGTCGATATTCTCATGCTTATCAAATTCTAAAAGGTATCGTAAAAAGATCAAACACGTAAATTCTCCCAATGAAAACACTTGTCACTTCCAACGCGCGAGTACAATGCTGTAATTGAGAGACTTTCCTGTCGGAGAGGTATAATAGATCAACAGTGAGAATTTGTTGTAGATTGGATAGATTTTGCGATTTTAAGACGCGATGGTATACCAAAAGCTATATGTTATAGTTACCTACAGTCTTTATTTTTCGGTTCCGCTATCCATGTTTTGTAGACGTCTAGCAACATCCTCTACAAAACTAGCGAGCTTCTCCGTCGGCTGGTATGTGAAAGAATAAAAAATTATTATAAGCATCTATCAGTAACCAGGTACGTAATATACGAAACTAATTGTAGTTTTGCAAAATTGCGCTCGATGGAAATGATAAGAAGAGCGCTTGCTAAAATCACAGTACTTACCCAGGTATCATATCTGTATACCCTTTCTTCCTCTGCCTTTCGTTCGTTGACCACTTCCTCAAGGTGGTCAACTTTGTCCGCAAGCTCTTCGAACTTGCGCTTTTGTTTTGCGCACTGGCTGCACCTGGCGCTTTTTCTCACTACTGGGGCCACCTGCATTATGGGTGTCTTCCCAGTAAAGTCGTTTGATGTCGTTTTTTTGTTTTTACGAGGAAATTTCATGTTATATGTGTGCGTTGTGTTCGTGTGTGCTTGTGTTCGTGTGTGTGTGGGGGGGTCTTTTTTCGCTTTTAATTTGCCAGTTGAATTGGAGTCGTTTATATATGAGAGATTCGCAAGCGCTTGATAAGGTTAGTGTGCATTACCAAAGTAAGAGCTATAGTTACCTCATAATAAGAACAACAGCATTACACATGACTCAATAATATATATTCAATTCTGACTACTCCTATCACGTCATACATACATTGCCATCCTCTGTATATTGGCGCCATAACAACGTTGTGCGGCTTGCATGAGCATTCAAAGAAAACGAAAACAGATTCTACCTTTAAAAGTGCGTTTCAACGCGTAAGACTGAAGCAATTTCTCGCCGTGTTGTTTCCGTTTGTTTGCTTATTCATAAAATACAGTGTGATTATATAAACAGAAATAACATTCCATATTAAAGCTAGAAAGCAAACCGATTTAATAATTACATACCGTCGTGCAATCGTATGCTTACCCACAAAGTAGTTTCCGAACGAACGTACTGCGCATGAAAAGCGTTGGTCCTGCTGTATGTCATGTACTTGTCGAAATAGGTTTCCTATGCCGTATCATACGCCTTGCCCTTTGAGCACTTGAGGGTTCTGGATCGCTTATTTAACAGCAAAGACAAAGTTTAGGTTTGATTGCTCCCGAGGTTTGGTGAAATATTCTAATCTCATTGGAGACAGAATGCGTCTTTTCTGACTCGGCATGACCTCCTATTGCGTCAGCAGTGAAATGTGCAACAGTCGACAAACAATACTAGTAACAATCCTGAGCATATTGGGTAGGTATTTCGGGTGTCCGTAAACTTAATGCATGAGCTGCTGACTCCCACAGCTTTGTTGTATTGCGCAAGCTCATCGAACGCCAACTGA